CAGTCATACACACTTTTCTTTATAAGTTCCAGGGTTTCGCAGACCTCCTGAGGCCCGCCCACAGACTACGTTAGGGGTCCACGGTCCCTAAGTTAAAAGCCTTTAAGCTAAATGGTCTCTAACTTCTCTTCCTCCTCCATCATTTTGTGGGTCCATACAATGATTCTAGGAAGCAAAAGAGGGGCAGGCCAGTCTCTCCCACCTGCTGTGGTTTCTATCTTCTCTCTAGTGACTCCATGGACCTTAGGTTAAACCCTAAGACCTAAAATTGCTTTGGAATTTTAATTCCCCTGTGTTCCTCATAAAAATTAAGAGAATGTCTGGCAGGTCTGCTCTGGCAATGCCAGATACACTCAACTTGAGCTTAAACCCGGCAATGTCTGTGGAATAAATCAGGATATTGATGCAGTTTGCAAGACGGAAACGAAATGTCAATGATCTTGACAGTTTGGAAGAGTAAGAGGTTATTCTTCAAATTCTTTTTCTCTTTCTTTTTTAGGTACACGTTGCCTCTTACAGAAGGAAAACCCAATGTCACAATTCTTGATACTCAGATCCGAAATTTGAGGTCCAGATCTCTCTCCCAGATACACGAGGCTGCTGTGAAAATGAGGTCTGAAGCCACAGATGTGCTATCCACACTGGCAGAAATTGAGGACTGGCTCGATAAGTTAATGCAGCTGGCTGAAGAGGTAGGACTTTTAAACTACACAAACAACACCTAATATGGAGGAAGAATTCTGTGGAATGGCACCAAGGATGGGGATGACGGGAGGAGAATCTAATAGATTATCTGGGATATTGAGGAGATCTGACAGATAATAAAAATTAAGGATTTAGGGCTGGCCGGTTAGCTCAGTTGGTTAGAGCATGTTGTAATACCATGGCAAGGGTTTGGATTCAGATCCCCATACCAGCCAGCTGCAAAAAAAAAAAAAAGAAAGAAAGAAAGAAAGAAAATTCAAGGAGTTACTGGGCTGGGGATGCTAATGGATAATGGGGATGAAAGTCATTGAAATCAGGGCAGAAGAATTTTGCACTGATGATCCTGGAAATGTCTCCAAAAGTGGACAAATCATAATCCTCTTTACGGTATTGTCAGAGATCTGTGTAGTACAGAGTATTAAAATGTCAGCTTCGGTTGGGGTCAGGAAGACCCGGATTTGAATCCTGGATCTACCATATGTAACCTGGGCAAATTATTTAACCTCTGTAAGCCTCAGTTTCCCCATCTGTAAAATGTAAACAAAATTAGTATTTACTTCATAGCATTGCATGAAGATTTAAAGAAGATGAGTGTAAAGGGTTTAGCACACTGCTGGGCACATAGTAAGTGCTGCATAAATGTTGGCTGTCACTAACCTCAGTTTTCTGGAAGAACAAGTGAGTAAGGGTCCCCCTCTACCTGTCCTTCAGAAACTGGGGGTAGGTAGTAATATATTTGTGA